TTCTGCATACTGACTTTATTCTACATACTGACTTTATTCTGCATACTACATGGTCACTGCTTCTTCCTCACCTCTCTCATGCAGCCCACACGCTGACTCAGAGCTCCAGTACAGCCAGCCATGAGTGTGAAGTGGCCTTCAATCAAGTATTGGTTGAACAAAAAGGTAACAGCATTTATTAGCACTATATAAACAATTAATAAGTGGTTTATAACACACTATGACGTAATTGTACACAGCTATGGACTATGGGGGTATTGAACATGGTGAAGACACACCTTATATCATTACAACTGTGATTCACTACACTGTCAGTCATTATGTGTCCACTCATGGCTCCACATGAGGAGTTTTATCTGTGGACAAATACATTAATAAACACTTATATCTGCATTGCAAATTTACAACTATAATGCTGATACATTACAGTTGAGAAATAATCTGCAGATAACTCCATATGATAAGAATATTCCAATCTGATACATTTTTGATATTAACAAGCAGGAAAACAACACCGACAACAGGTCTCCAATTGATCGTCTATGTTCTGCAGAACCACAGAAATCAACATAGAAGCCCAGCAGAATCTTGTAATTGCTGCGGACATTGTTGCACAGCAGCAGGCATGTCTGGACCAACAAGGCATCGCTGCAATTCTAACATGAGAGCAGCGTTGGGGTGAGGAAGCAAAATGAAAGCTCACACGGAGAAGCACGAATCCTCATGATGTCCAACACTCAACAAGCACAGCTCACTTTGAAAACAATGAGGAGGCCGGACCAGAACTCAGTGTAGATGAGCGTGAGTAGGTTTGATCAGATGTACTCGTACTATTACTACTGTCATTCAAGAGATTTCATCATTCTGCTGCTTTCTTGATCGCAGACTAGTCGAGTTGTTAGTCACGTGACAAAACTCCATTTCTATCTTCTGGCATGTCAACTTTCTTTTCAAAGGAGTCTAAAAAGTGATTCATAAACAGGAAAAACACAGAGGAGGGAAAACTAAACATGTAATAACATAACATAAGAAGGCTTGGGGGCCTCGAATGTCCCAGATAGCAAGAAAAGACTTGGTTCGTCTGTTATTCCCACGGAGGAAGTGGGACTTGAAAAC